TGAGTTTGGGGTACCATCTTGCAGGATGTGTTGTACACTGTAAATCAGAACCAGTAATCAACATCTGGTGCTGTTTCTCCTGTAACCAAAATACATGGGGCTGAGAACCAAAGGGTAATGGTGAGAATGATACCCAATGATCCACTTGCAAAAAAAATTTGTGTTTTGCTTCTCATTACCACAATTATTATTTTTGCTATTTTTAGAACCTAATTATTATTTGAGAGAGGAATATTTCTTTTAGGGACTACAACAATGATTCCACTGAATTAGAAGCTGGACTGCCACCTCATGCTAGTAGGCAAACCAGCAAAAAAAAAAAAACAATTGTTATGTGGCGTGGGTGATTGATCCTGATCACTCAGTGCTATATTCATTGTAGGAATGAACTATAATTTGTTTCCACTTCCCTATTGAGACTCCCTTTATGTCGTTTTCACTATAACAATGAACCTCTTTGCAGATATCTCCTTGTGCACATAGTGAAAGGGTAGCTACCTAAAAGTATTAATAGAATTTCTGGGTCACAGGATATGTGAATGTTGAACTTTACAATTTGTTCTCCAACAAACCGCAAAGTGATTGTACCCCCACCGACAGTGACTGAATTCCTATTTCTGTACATTCTAGTGAATATTTGTTGATATTTTTGCCAATCTGATAAGTATAAAATGATAGCTCATTTTGATTCAATTTGTAGTCCCCTGATTGCCTAAGGTCAAGCATCTTTTCACGTTTGTCTGTGGTGACGTGAAAAAAAAAACAGTGTCAACTCTCAGTTTTCCACAAGAACAGTACTTACATTCCGAACAGTGGCATGTCTCATCTCATAAATTAATTCTTGTATTCATTCCTATGCAACAGATTTTCATCCCTAATTAGGCCTGGGCTGGCTCCTGTCAAATTTAGTTTCCTTCAGGGTATAGGATAAAAGAGGAAAGTCAGTTTCAGGATTTTTGATTTACATCCGATAATCTATAAAATGGACACTTCACATGGCTTTTTGTGGCCTCAGTCTTGAGTTAGTGTTGTGTGAAACGGGAGTGCTCGGGTGTAATCTTAGGGATTTTGTCCTTGAGTAAAATGTGGACTGCTCAGGAGCATTGCAGTGTAGAACTGTCATGCCTCACCTGTTTGCAACCCAAATGCTACTGTCAAGTATGAGTCTTAGCATGTTAGAGCTGGAAGATGTTATAATTGGCAAAGAGGAAATTAAGGCTAAGAGAGCTCAACCTGTGACCTACTTAAGAGCTGTGTTCTCCTCCCAAGTACTGCAGCTTGACCTTCTGAGCCCTCAGGGTGGCTGTGTGGTGTCTGGTCGGATGATCATTTCCCACATGTGCTATGATGTGAGCGAGACCTTGTTGGGAGGCAATCTCCATGGGTCTATTGAGGTTCTGTCTATCTCAGGAGAGCTTTGGACCTTTGTCTGTGACGCAGTAGTTGTGCATTTTCTGCCAGCATTGACAAACTGCAGCTGGCCCCCTTTTTGCTTCAAAGTCGAGTAAAATCTGAGACACTTCAAAGTTCCTCACAGTTGCAAGCAGTAGTTTCAGAAGCTGTTAATAAGGGATTTGTGGAACAATGGTCTTCTGGTTAAATTAGTTTTGGGAAAGTTAAGGTAAAAAAAAAAAAGAATAAAGAAAAGATAAATGAAAAGTAAAGTGTGTTCTTTTCCAGTCAGACTCCCCCTTTTTCTTTTGTCATTGAGACTTTATCGGTCATGCTGAGCATCAGTACAGACATTTCAGTTTGTACACAATTCTTCACATACATACCCCAAATCTAAAATGCCATTTAGTGTAACTCTTTTCAAACAGTTATTTCAGTGACTTTCCAGATTAAAATTTGGAGGCAAATTTTCCTTAAGAGGATATCAAGTACCAGTATCTTCCAATGTTGCTGAGCTGTTACATAAGTCCCACCAATTCACAAGTGATTGCCACATATGCTACATACTCCAGTTTTCAGTCTTTCACAGCACGGTAAGAAAGTCATTAGGAAAACAGGAGCACCAACAACCCGAGATGTCACAGACTGGGCACAACTCTCACAGGGGAGCCATGATCACGGGGAATGGATTGCTTTAGGAAACAATCCTACTAAAAAGCAACACGGGAATAGAAGTAATTTAAGACGTTCAAGACATGAAATTCAGGACTGGGACACCACCTTGCCATTTAGTATGTTTTGTATTACAGGGTATAAAAACTAACACCACCCCCCCCCATGGAATGTTAAGCTGAAACCCAAGACAGTTTCCCAGAATTCAACATCCTACACTATTTTCTGCCTGTACCAAAAAATAAACAACCGGAGAATGATTTCACCTCTTAAAAAAAAAAAAAAAATTTACACTTAAAACATGGGATGAGGCAGGATTCTATCCTTCTTAAAAATGTTTCTAGAACTACCAAGAAACTTGAATTTACAAAAATAGTTGATAAAATATGCCTCTGGGTTGTAGAAGAAGGGAGACAGGGACCACTGCTAAGACATGGCCAGTGATATTAATCGGACGTGGCCTCTTTCTGTCCCGCTTGGTCAGCGGCGGGCCCCACCTCAGTTTTAGTTTCCCATTTCCCGTAGGTGAGTCTTCTTTCGTTTCCTTGTTGGCCACGTCCCCCTGCTTTCCCTTCGCTTCCCCCTTCCCTCTTGGTTGCACTTTGTTGTCTGAGGATTTGCCCTTTGCTACTGCTTTTGGGGGCTTCCTTTCCACCTTTGCAGGAGCATTTTCAGCTGACCACCTGCCCATCTCCTCTCGGGCTCTTCCTTCCCTTTCGGCAGAGCTGACCTTCCTCTTTGGCATCTTGGCGGCCGGCAGGGTGCACTCCGGTGCCTGTGGGCCCTGCCGCGCCCAGAACCTTCGTGAAGCCCTGCTGCCTGGCTGCGGCAGGGGCGGCGGGAGGACCCCCTGTGAGACCCTTAAATGAGCGAAGGAGCACTATGAATTGCTTCCAAGCACAGGTAGGTGGTGGGGGACAGATAAGAGTGTGCTAAGTTTCAAGAATTATTGGAGTAGGAAAACTTGCCCTTCCCTCCCCCAAGGAATACCCATTAACTTTGGAAAAAACGATAAAATTAGTATGAAGTCCTTTGAAAAGTGAGTATAATACAGTAAGAATAAGGATGGAAATAGTAGTTAGTTGTGGGGGAAGTAGTTTGCACATCCCTTCTAAACTAGACTGTGGTAGGGTCTTAGGCAGCTATGGATGAATCACAGCCACAGTGCCCAAACCAAGGGAGGTCATGGGATTTTGCTTACGGGTCAGGTTATAGAAGCAGAAGGGGAGTTATAAACAATGTCCAGCTCTCTCATTTACATGTGGGACACCGAGGCCTAATAAACGAAAGGCACTGAGTTAAGGGAGCTGGAGTTTTCAGGGACTCTGAAGCCCTCCTACCCCCTGCGAGACCCTTAGCTCATGTGTCACAGAGCAACGTGCCAGTCACCCTGAAGTTCAATCCCTTCGTCACCTCAGACCACAGCAAAAGCTGCAAATGCCATTTTAATGCCCCCTGGCATGTATGCAGGAAGATCATGTAGTCGCAGATGTCCAAGGAGCTACCCAGAAGGACAACGTTCTCTCAATGTCCATCCGCAAGGACGATGAAGTCCAGGTGGTTCAAGGACACTATGAAGGTCAGCAAACCTGCAAGGCAGTCCAGGTGTACAGAAAGAATATGTCATCTACATTGAGCGGGTGCAGCGTGGGAAGGCTAATGGCACAACTGTCCACGCGGGCATTGATTGACCCAAGCAAGGTGATCAGAAAAAATTCTTGAACACAAAGCTAAGTCTCAACAAGTTGCAAAAGAGAAAGGCAACTACAAGGAAGGACTTACTGAGAAACTGCGGGAATGAATATACTCTTTTGTGAACCCATAGTTTAACTGGAGTTTTTAGCCTGGTGTGTGTTTGGAACTTTTCAAAAATGTCTGTGGACTATTCCATTTCCCTCCTGTTTTGTTATCTACTTGTAGTTCTATAAATCTACTTTTTCAATTTTGATTAATAATTGTATGAATAAAAATTGGAAATGTTTCTTAAAAAAAAAAAGAACGGCACTTACTTAGGGCCACCCAGTTCATAGGTGGCAATTAGGGCAATAAAATCTAAGTGTTTTGTCACTCTTCGGTATTCCTCACGCGTTATTTATTCTTATATTGTCTTATTGTTTCAATTATTCGTAACCCAATTTTGAGGTCTCTGAGGACAAATACCATTTTGTCTCACTTAAAAGCTTCTATTACAGTGTAACGATCTATTGAACAGCTTTCATATTCACTACAGTCACCCTTTACGGCAGGACTGCTCAAGACAGCTTTCTGTCAGATGGAAGTGCTTCTTACTTACGGGCGCTGTCCAGGATGGCAGCCACGAGCCGTGTATAGCTAGCACTCGTTAACATGGCTATTGTGATTGAGGAATTGATTTCTTCATTTCGTTTTAAGTAATTAAAATAGACGTTAAATAGCCATATTTGACTAACACCTGTTGTAGTGACTAACAGTAGAGACTGTAGCAGCTACAGTGTGTGTCCTAGGAATGAACTTGAGGAGGAATTAGCAGCCATGGCTGAATTCGTTATTCTCTTTTGTTGATCTATGCTACACAGTGATGCTACTGGAGCAGGTCTCAAGCTTCATTTGCTTGTTCAACAAGCATTTCTAAAGAACTATAAGGGCCAGGCTTTGAGTAGGTGTGGGGGTACACCAGCTACTAAATAGAGGCAGAGGTGGGCACGCAGCAGCTACAGTTGAAGGCGCTAAAAGGGGGTGGGGCCTGTGCCAAGAAGGGGAAGGCGCTAAAAGGGGGTGGGGCCTGTGCCAAGAAGGGGAAGGCATCGCTGGGCAGGAACCAGTCTCAAGCCTCGCGAGGGTTGGCACTTGTAACGCGAGCATCCCCAAGCCAGGGGTCACAGGCTGCCGCAGGGACTTCTGGGTTGTAGACCGTTGGGCTCTGAGGCAACGGCTCATCTTGGCGGACCGCCAGAGCCATGCCTTCAGAGGCAAAGCTAGAGAGGGGAAGGCCGAGGTCCAAGACCCGACCACTGAGGGGAGCGCGTTCAAGGCTGGTAGCTTGTGAGGCAGGGTACATGGAGAACCCGGCGATTGGGTCCAATCCAGGTAGCAGCAACTTCGGGCGTGTGGACATCATGGCGGCGACACCTCCGCCTCACTGGCAAGCATCTCTGCGTGGCCTCCGAGCTGAGAACGGCCACTCCCTGGTGAAGATATGTACCCACAAGCGCATCGGGCTGCTTATGCTGTCAATCTGGATCCTACTGCTCCTGTGCTACTATCTGAGCCCAGGTAAGGCCTGGTTCCAGGCTGGGAATAGGGTTGACGCGGCTGAGGCGGGGCGGGGAGGGGGGATGGGCGGGGTAACAAGTTTTGCCAACCACAGACCTTCCCGCTACCTCGTCCCCACCCGACGCCGCTGCTTCCCTTCCGAAAGCCATCCTGACTTCGCCCTTCCCCAAACTCTGCCTTTTCTTGCCTCCCTTCCCGAGCCACTGCCCTTTCTCAGGTTTCGTTCTCCCTCTGCTGAACTCTTTTCCTTTGAAACTCCCTTCAAACAGCCCTTCTCTCCCAGACTTCATGGAAGCCTTCCCTTCCTCACTTCCCTCCTTTTTATATTTATTTATTTATTTTGCAGGTTTTGGCTAGGGCTGGGTTTGAACCCGCTACCTCGGGCGTATGGGGCCGGTGCCTCACTCCTTTGAGCCACAGGTGCCGCCCACTCCTTTTTAAATTGAAGTGAAATTTGCATCACGTAAAATTAACTATTTCATAGTGAATAATAAAGGAGATTTAGTACTTGTACATGTTGTGCAATATCTCTTCTCTCTAGGAAGTAAGCCCCAAACTGTTTTACAAAGTGACTGAACCATTTTACATCTCTACCAAAATGTTCCAGGGTTCCAGTTTCACCAAAACGTGGTATAACCATGGCAGTGAGTGTGAAGGAGTATCTCATTATGGTTTTAATTTGTGTATTCCTAATGACTAATGATGTTAAGCATCCTTTTATGTTTGTTGGCCCTTTGCATATCTTTGGAGAAATGTCTTTTCAAATTATTTGACCATTTTTAATTTGATTGTTTATGTTTTTTTTTGTTGTGTTGTTAAGAATTCTTTATACAGACGGTGCCAAAAAATATATATTCATTTTAAGAAAGGAAGCAACTGTATTAAAATTGTAATATTCAAGTCAAGTTTACTTCTGCAATTGCAAGAGGTAAAAAATAAAATACACAAGATAACAAGGGTTGGTATATATTGAAAATTACAATTTTAATACAGTTTTTTCCTTTTTTTTTTTTTTTGCAGTTTTTGGTGGGGGCTGGGTTTGAACCCGCCACCTATGGCATATGGAGCTGGTGCCCTACTCCTTGGAGCCACAGGCACCACCCAGTTTTTTCCTTTCTTAAAATGTGTGTATCTTTTTATGGCACTCTCTGAATATGTATTTTAGATAATGGACTCTTATGAGATATATACTTGTAAATATTCCCTCCCATTCTATAGCCTTTCTTTTTACTTGATAATGTACAAAACTTTATGGTTTTAGCTCTCATAATGAGATCGTTGATCCATTTTGAGTTGATTTTTGTATATGGTGTGTGTTGGAGGTACAACTTCATTCTTTTTCCTGTTTGCTCCACCACTGTTTGTTGAAGAGACTATTCTTTCCCTATTGAATTGTCTTAGTACTCCTGTCAAGAATCAGTTGACCATAGATTTCAAATTTATTTCTAGACTTTCAATTCTGTTCTGTTGGTCTGTGTGTCTTTCTCTATGTCAGTAACATATATATATTTTATAGAAGGAGTGTCACTATGGCACCTTCAGTAGATTGTCATGGTGTCACAGCTCACAGCAACCTCAAACTCTTCGGCTTCAGTGATTCTCTTGCCTCAGCCACCCAAGTAGCTGGAACTACAGGTGCCCGCCACAGTGCCCAGCTACTTTTTTGTTGTTATTGTCATTGTTTAGTAGGTCCAGGCCAGGTTTGAACCTGCCAGCCCCAGTGTATGTGGCCGTCACCCTAACCATTGAGCTACGAGTGCCGAGCCTCTCATAGCTCAATGGTTAGGGCGCTGTGCCAGTCTTTTTAAATGGCTGAATAGTATTCTATGGTGTACATATACCACAATTTGTTAATCCATTCCTGGGTTGGTGGGCACTTAGGCTGTTTCCACATTTTGGCAATTGTAAATTGAGCTGCACTCTAGTGCAAATGTCCTTATGATAAAAAGATTTTTTTTTTCTTCTGGGTAGATGCCCAGTAATGGGATTGCAGGATCAAATGGGAGGTCTAGTTTGAGTTCTTTGAGGATTCTCCATACTTCCTTCCAAAAAGGTTGTATTAGTTTGCAGTCCCACCAGCAGTGTAAAGTGTTCCCCTTTCTCCACATCCACACCAGCAACTGCAGTTTTGAGATACTGTATTATGGGGCCATTCTCACTGGGGTTAGGTAATATCTTAGGGTGGTTTTAATTTGCACTTCTCTGACAATTAGGACAATGAGCATTTTTTCATATGTTTGTTAGCCATTTGTCTATCTTCTTTAGAGATGGTCCTATTCATCTTTCCTTCCCATTGACATAAGGGATTGTTGGTTTTTCCATATTGATTAATTTGAGTTCTCTGTAGATCCTGGTTATCAAGCTTTTGTCTGATTCATAATTTGCAAATATCTTATCCCATTCTGATATTTGTCTATTTGCTTTGGTTGTTGTCTCCTTAGCTGTAGAGAAGCTATTCAATTTAATTTGGTCTAGGTGGTAAATGAAATTGTCAGTGGGTATGGGGATTAAGGGGAAAGAGGTCCCCAGAGCTTTTAATCCACAGAAGAAATGAATATTGGACAGAGGCCTGCCTTGATAGAAAAGCGGAGTCTCAGTTTTGGGTGTGGGGACCGGTGAGAATAGGGATAGAACTATAGTAGGCTGGCTGGATGAAAACTGGGATAGCTTCACACATGGTTGAAAGGGAAGGGGCAATGGTGAGAGTGACATTACATAATGTCTGTCTGAGAGTTCCTACTGGGCTTTCTTGGGGCTGGCTCTTTGAATGCAGAGGGGAGCCTAGGAGGGAAAAGAGATCTCCTTGCCAATGGGCCCCTCGCTAGCCCTTTAGGGGAAGGTTAGGGATTCTAAGGCTTGGGTATACTTCTGGAGAAGGTTGTTAGCCTGTCTTTGACATTGACTGGGGAATGAATTATAAACAGTGTGATTTAAGGAGTCAGGTGTAGAAACCCAAGTTCAAGGCAAGACAGGTACAGCTGAATAAGAAGTGGGGTAATATGTAAACATATCCAGAAACTAAATGCCAAGGGAGGGAGTTAGAAGTTTTGAGCATAGAGTGGGTTAATGTAAGTGTTTAGATAAGCAGATAAAGAGGGGCCTGCTAAAACTTGGTGGAATAGGAGGGAAGAGAAGAGGGAGAGGGAGGACAGGAGTTTTCTGGGTGAAAAAGGCTTCTGATGTTCTCCCATGGGTGATCAGGGAAGGATTCTTGGAGGAATTTGTTAAAGAGGAGTCCAGGGACTGCTCTTTGGAGATGCTCTGGCAAGAAACAGAGGAGGAAAAGGACCTGGCTGGATGGGGGCTCTAGGAGAGGGTAAAGAACATGCCTCATGCTTCCTTGGGGATTATCTGGAGTTTGAGGAAGGTTGGGCCCATTAAGGTGGAGCTATACTAGACTATTGGGGTAGGGTAAGGTTTTATTTTTTGATGTGGAACCAGATTTGGGGGAAATCCAATTAGCTTGACTGCCATAGGGGTGGTAAGAAGGACAGTGTATGCCCCTTTCCGTGGTGGGGAGAGCCCCTTTAGGATACTCAGGTGAATTTTTGAGAGAACTTTGTGTCCAGTCATAAGTGAGGATGTTGCTTCCCCTGAGTAGGGCTGCGGTAAGGGGAAGTCAGAAGATTTCTGGAGAATATTTTGTAAAATGTTAAGACTTGGGAGTTAGTCCCTAAGTGGTGAGGAAGGTGGTGGCAGGTTTCCTAACAGAAAAGGATGGCGTACATCAGTTCAAAAGGGCATAAGAATGGAGAGTTATAATAAAGAATGCAGCTTTGAGGTCTAAAACTGAAAAGTGTGACGTGGTGGGAGGAATGGTTGACAGGAGGGTGTAGGGATTAGGCACTGCAGGATGGATAGGAATTATTGAGGATATTAATGACCTTGAGGTCTTGAACTAAGTGGTAGGTGCCATTAGGTTTTTTAACTGGAAGGATGGGGGTGTTGGATGGAGAATGGGTTATATGAAGAAGACCTTTATCACCTAAGGTGGCGGGTTCGAATCCCCAGACCGGGCCCGCCAAACAACAATGATGGCTGCAACCAAAAAAAAAAAA